ATATATATATAATATATATTCATGCTGAATGAGTTAGAGGTGTAAAATACTGATGGAGAGAGTGCAGGACACAAAAGTCGTGAGGGTAACACTGGAAAGGAAACTAGGTACCAAAAAAAAAGGAAGAACACACTTACAATCAACAACCAAACATAAATAACGACAATAAATAAAGAAATATACCCGGGAAACTAGAGTATTGCGATACTTGAAAATCGAAGTCACTTTACTATAACTCAAGGTAAGTGTGTCGAGGAAATGTCTGGATCTGGCGCGGCCGACAGAGCAGCGGAACGTCAATCACGAGCGAGGACTTTAACTTTACTAGCTGTATATAAGTGTGAGAGCCTCTCGCTGGGGCCATCATCTCCAGAGCTCAGCCAGTCGTACAGAATGCTCTCAAGGTATAGGCTACGTGTAATGAGCAGTAATGTGGAGTAGTAAGCACTGACCACATTTCAGGGAAATTTCTCCATTACCATATTCTTCTTTTCATTTCCTTTTTCATTTATTATTATTATTACTATTATATTTCGTATCGCTATATGTTAGATTTCATTGTCGTCTTTGTTACACTAGGAATGTGTTGATGACATGCAGCGTATTTCGTGACTCTTCGCTCTCGCGGCTACCGCCCTACGCCCGCCCTGACAGCCCCCTGCCTATGAGCTACGGAGGCTCCAAACACCCTCCTACGCCCCGCCCAAGTACGACTTTCAACTGACGCGTCAACGACCCCCCTCCCGCAACGACTTCGGCCACCAGGAAGTCTCGTGACGGCGACTACACTCAGGATCCTACTAGTCCTGCTTTCCCGACGGGTCGTCTTCAGAGGGTCACCTACAATGTCAACCGGTGATTCTTGGCCTTCCTGGCCGAGGTTACGTATAGAGGAGAAAGCCCATACCCTACTCAGCAGCGTGCTTACACTCCCGCTCCAACTTACGGGATAATATGTTTTAATATTTTTCTTTTGACGAAATGAACATTGCACAATTGAGAAACATTGTGGTATACTATTTAAACTTATTTATTGTAGGCTATTTCTCCTTTCATCTTCCACTTTGATACCAATAATCCAAATTGTTCATCCGTTTCTCTTTATCCACATTGCTCTCTATGTATATCTATACATGCGTGTGCAGATATTTATTCATATATTATAAAAATATAGTCTCTGTATATATACATGTCAATATATACCAAATTTTCAATGTTTGTATCTCTTCCTATCTTGATAAATATACCTACAGATCTAGCGTGTGCGTAGTAGGTAGTAGTAGATAATAGTAGAATTCGGAAAACATAAAGTAAACTGAAATGAAACAACTTTCATATACATTCATTACAACACGCCCTAACCTTTATTCCTCGTGTTTCTCTTTCTCGCTCTCCTTCACTTCCTTCACTTCCTTTCCTTTCCCTTTTTCACTCTCTCAGTCTTCCTCTCCACTTGACGTAACAGAGTTTTCTTCTTCTTCTTCTTCTTCTTCTTCTCTCTTTTTGGCGAAGGGGGGACAGTGTAACGGTGAGACGAAGATATGCGAACGCCGAGTTGGGTAATGCATGACTATATGACATTAAAGCGATGTTATTCGGACATATTCTGCATTCACTTAGTCAATTGCGTAACCTCCTGTATGTGCTGTAGTGTTTGTGTGCTGTGCGTGTCGCGTGCTCCGTGTGCGTGTGCGTGTGTGTGCTGCGTGCTAGCCGTGTTGTGTAGTGTGTGTGTGTGTGCATGTGTGCTGTGTGTGTGTGTGTGGTTGTGTGTGTGTGTGTGTGTGGTGTGTGTGAAACTGTATGGATACGATATTTTCTTCTAGAGGGTGTTTTGTTGGCTTAATAGTAATAACCTAAATCTAAAATATAGTGAAACTATTAGACTGCATGAAAAAAGGAGACACCAGCATTGGTTTAACATATAAATTGCTGGCAGAATGCTGGTGCGTGTTTATTGTATATATTATCATAGTAACTATTTAATGTAAACATACATATACATACCATTTGTATGTAATGATGGATGTATATGTATGTATGTATACACACACACACACACACACACAGCACCACAACACACACACACCACACACCACACCACAACACATACTATATATATAATATTATAATATATATATATATATTATATAATATAATATATATATATACTATATATAGTATATAAAAAATATAAATAAATATAAATAAATATAATAAGATACACAACAACACACACATAATATAAATAAAGAGATATGTGTCATAACGAGCACATATTAATGTATAATATTATATTCAATACATACTACTTAATAACAGAACAAAAATACAATATATATAGATAGAATGATGAATATCAAATAAAATATAATATAATATTCGGTAATATATCAGAATATAAATAGAATCCACAACAACACACCCACAAAACAAACACCACACAACAACACACAAACAACAAACAACAACAAAATATAATTATTATATTCATACATATACATAACTATTACCTCCTCCATACCAAGATAATGTGTATGATATAGAGAGATAAAAATAATTAAATAATATGAATAGAATAGAAAAATAAGATAATGTGAATAGAATAGAAAAAAAATGAGAGTTAGTTAATGATGTGTGTGTAGAGATAAATAAGATAAAATAGATGGTGTAGATAGTGAGTAGATAAGAATTACATAACAAAAGAATAATACATTAATTGATACCAACACGAATAAATATGTACTAATTATATATGTTATAATATGAATAATACAATAAAATAGACAAGAAATAAGAAACAACACAAACTATAATACTATGGTGTGTGTGTATATAACCTAAGGATTATACTATACAGTACTAATATATATATTATATAGGTACCTTAATATACTCTACTTATCATACGGTAGTACTATATATATATACTATTATATAAGTGTTATATATCTATATATAGTACTGTGTGTGTCTGTGTGTGGTGTGTGTGTGCTGTGTGTGTGTGTGTGTGTGTGTGATGTGTACATACATACACTATACACAATATATACCATACAAAATGTATGCTGATATGTATTTTAATAATATATATATGATTAATAGGTATACATAAACGAGCGGACAACACATTTTATATGTTAAACCAATCTGGTGTCCTTCTTTCAATGCAGGTCTAATATTCCACTATATTTAGATTTGGTTATACTATTTCAGCCAAACAAAACAACCTCTAGAAGAAAATATCGTATCCATACAGTTCACACACACACACACACCACACACACACACACACACACACACACCACACCACACACACACACACACACACACACACACGCACACACACACACACACGGCACACGCACGCACACGCAACGCACACGACCCACACACATAACAGAGTTACCAATGACTAAGTGAATGCAATATGTCCGAATAACATCGCTTAATGTCATATAGTCATCATTACCAACTCGGCGTCCATCTTCGTCTCACCTACACTTCCCCCCTTCGCAAAAGAAGAAGAAGAAGAAGAAGAAGAAGAAGAAGAAGAAAACATCTGTTACGTAAGTGGAAGGAAGACTGAGAGTGAAAGGGAAAGGAAAGGAGTGAAGGAAGTGAAGGAGAGCGCGAAAGAGAAACACGAGGAATAAAGGTTAGGGCGTGTTGTAATGAATGCATATGAAAGTTGTTTCATTTCAGTTTACTTTATGTTTCGAATTCTACTATTACTACTACTACTACTACGCACATACTAGATCTGTAGGGATCTGTAGGTATACTTATCAAGATAGGAAGAGATACAAACATTGAAAATTTGGTATATATTGACAGATATATATACAGAGAATATATTTTATAAATATGAATAAATATCTGCACACGCATGTATAGATATATAGAGAGCAATGTGGATAAAAGAAACGGATGAACAATTTGGATTATTGTATCAAAGTGGAAGATGAAAGGAGAAATAGCCTACAATAAATAAGTTTAAATAGTATACCACAATGTTTCTCAATTGTGCAATGTTCATTTCGTCAAAAATAGAAAAATATTAAAACATATTATCCGTAAGTTGGAGCGGGAGTGTAAGCACGCTGCTGAGTAGGGTATTGGGCTTCTCCCTCATACGTAACCTCGGCCAGGAAGCCAGAATCGCCGTTGACATTGTAGGTGACCCTCTGCAGGCGACCGTCGGGAAGCAGGACGTAGTAGGATCCCTGAGTGTAGTCTCCGTCACGAGACTCCTGGTGGCCGAAGTCGTTGCCGGAGGGAGGGTCGTTGACGGCGTAGTTGAAGTCGTACTTGGCGGGGGCGTAGGAGGGTGCTGGAGCTCCGTAGCCATAGGCAGGGGGGCTGTCAGGGCGGGCGAGGGCGGTAGCCGCGAGAGCGAAGAGCACGAAGACCTGCAATGTCATCAAACATTCCTAGTGTAACAAAGACAATGAAATCTAAAATAGCAATACGAAAATAATAATAGTAATAATAATAACAAATGAAAAAGGAAATGAAAAGAAGAAATGGAATGGAGAAATTTCCCTGAAATGTGGATCAGTGCTTACTACTCCACATTACTGCTCATTACACGTAGCCTATACCTTGAGAGCCATTCTGTACGACTGCTGCGCTGAGAATGATGCCCCAGCGAGAGGCTCTCACACTTATATACAGCTAGTAAAGGTTAAAGTCCTCGCTCGTGATTGACGTTCTGCTGCTCTCTCGGCCGCACCAGATCCAGACATTTCGTCGACACACACTTACCTTGAGTTATAGTAAAGTGCCTTCGATTTTCAAGTATCGCAATACTCTAGTTTCCCGGGTATATTTCTTTATTTATTGTCGTTATTTATGTTTGGTTGTTGATTGTAAGTGTGTTCTTCCTTTTTTTTTGTACCTAGTTTCCTTTCCAGTGTTACCTCGCGACTCCGTTAGTGTCTATTGCACTCTCTCCATCAGTATTTTACACCTCTACTCATTCAGCATGAATATATATA